GACCCATTTATTTTGTAATTTTTTCCCCGACCAGCCCCTTTAAGAAATGTTAATTATCTTTATATATAGGAATGCAATACAATCTTCATCAATATAGATAAAAAACAAACCACATATTACATGCTGATTTAGTATGCTGTATGGTTTATCAAAATGCACCGTTGCTATGGGAAATAAACAAATTGTGATATCAACATTAAGTACCAATATCTCAGTTTGATAACATAATATTTACCTTTTTTTTAACTTGTATAATTCAAGCTTCATTCAACAAGTATGTAACTTGGCTATACTCTTCTTCCAGTCTTGCCAACAAGATCGTCGCCACATACAAGTTGTGTTCTGAGCAGCTGTCCTCTCAGCATCATTATGATTACGGTATGAGGGCTGTCAAGTCTGTCCTCACCGCAGCTGGTAACCTCAAGCTCAAATACCTCGACCAGGATGAAGCTATCCTTCTTTTGAAGGCTATCATGGATGTTAACCTACCAAAGTTTTTGGCTCAGGTCGGTTGTCTTTTTCAAGGAAATCTATTACCATACTTTAAAATAGTGATTGTTTTAAACTGTTGTTAATTTAGAAAGCGAATATTGTTTACAATGTCAATGTAGTAAACACTAAGTGACTACTTATTTTGATATACCTTTAAAAGTATAAGGTTTTACTTGTTATATTTTAATAAGCTGAGATGTAATTTAGGGTTAGAAAATGAATTATTGTTTATTTTTGTTTTGTTTACAGGATGTACCTTTGTTTGAAGGAATAATTTCTGATCTGTTCCCTGGAATTGTATGTCCTAAGCCTGACTATGGTGCCTTTATGGACGCTCTGAAAGACAATACAGAGAAAATGAAACTACAGACTGTACCATGGTTTATTGAAAAGATTATACAGGTAGAATACATTGTATAATAGGATAAATGAAGATAAGCCAGCAAAAAGAATAGTGGATAAATTACAAACTCTGTCTTAAATGTAATAGTTATTGTTTGCAGTATTTGAAAAAGGTAGCAGTTAGGAATTAGGAAAAAAATCCAAATGCATATTTAGGTTTTTATACCTGATTAAATTTTTAACATAGGTTTCATGTACCTGCTATATCATACTGTTTGTTTATACAATAACACTGTTTGTGTTTACAGGTGTACGAGATGATCCTGGTACGTCATGGATTGATGGTGGTTGGTGAACCTCTTGGAGGGAAGACCAAAGGCTGGCAGGTTCTGGCCGCAGCCCTGAGCGACCTTCAAGCTATCGGCGCATTTGATGAGTTTAAGACAGTGTACAGAATCATCAACCCAAAGGCCATTACTATGGGTCAACTGTACGGGTGCTTTGATCCAGTATCACATGAATGGACTGATGGTAAACTCACCTTTTATATTGCTATTTAGTGATATTTTCCTGCCTTTATTTAGAACCGAGAATATTTATTTCATAGGATACAATGTTTTAGATTATGACATCAGAGTTATAGGATCAAACAAATAGTTTCAATATGATAACTCTTGAAGGACTGCTTTGATTTTCATGAAATTTTCTACCCAAATATAAAAATCAACTTGACCACTAGTGGGGGCAGGGGACAGATCTACCAGTGTGG